GGTGGGATGCGGATTCGTACCCGCGACCCTCAGATTGTGAGTCGAGCGCCTTATCCACCTGGCCATGCCGGGCCTCTAGTAATAGTATAAACAAGTTAAACACATCAATGTTATTAATGATGACATAAATACACTCTGCCCTTTCAGCAGCAAGGATGTTATAACTTTGATAGACAATCCTACTGTTTGGTTAAGATCAACCATAATTGGTGTCGGTGCTGCTCAGTGGTTCCCCTACTTCGGTTAGCAGTTCTAAATAGGAACGAGTATACATGGATCTTGGAGATTTCTGATCGGTACACTTAACCCATTTGTCGTTCAGGTTGAAATGACCAAATACGAGTTTCTCATTTAGAAAAAAAATGAACGATTGAAATGACTAAAGAAAAATTAAATTTCAACGTTAAAATTGCTTTAATAGTTAACAAGAGATTTATTTTAGAAATATTTTATTTCCTACTTTCTTTATAAATTGTATAGCCTGTTAATACTGGTCTAAAAATATAGAAATAGTTTATATTATCGTATTTCTCTTTCATTTGTACGATTTTCTGATAGTAAAGGTTACATCCGACTGATATTTGAATCAATGATAATACATTAATTTCAAACAAATACGGTTCATATTAGTTTAGTTAGCGATAATATACCCTCAATAACATGTTACCAAAATCCTTTGGTTGCCTAGGGACATATTAGTAGTGTTACCCAGGTGTTTAGGGTTGTATCTTGGCAACAGGACAAACCTTGATTTATCGTAACAACAGTTAATTGTTGTTGCACTATGCAAGGTCAATAGACCGTTCGGCTCTGACGACCAACCAACCTTCAGTTTTTGGTCACAAACCTCTACATTATATAAAGGTGGAGAACGCCTCAAGACTCGGTCTTAAAACGTACCTGTTCTTTCCCGAGCAGAACAGGAAAATAATTTCATTGTATTCCTTTGTTATTTGATATAACAGAAAGAGTGTTTTATCTGTTAACGAGATGTGGAAGAAACAATTGCCAGCAAAAGTAAGTAGCTTTGTCTTGCAAATAATCATATTTCTCACAAATCTGTAATACGCATGCACATGTATTTAAATTGACCAATAACTATACCATTGAACTTATGACACGTTGCCATTCAGTTGAGAATCTAATAATTTTTGGCATATTGATATACATACATACTGAAAGTTAATAGTAAGGGTATAAGTATTATAAAGATAGTTGAATACGAAAGTACATTATGACAATATAATACTAAACTGGCGAACAACGATTTATAAGCATAATGAAGTGATTTAGTTTTAGGATAACATACTACATGTTTTGACAGAACATAAAAGAAAACACTTCATTATGCTTATAAATCGTTGTTTACCAGTTTAGTATTAAGTTAAGATAAGAAAAGTTAAAATGGGGATTGGGCCCTTAAAAGATGCTGAGTGCAAGGTATTTGTCGAAGACTATCAGGTGAATGAGTTTTTACTCTTTTCTTCTGCTTTTGGAAAAGAGGATGCTAGCACTATTCCTGAAACAGAGCATTCTACGGTAGATGTTAATCCTTTGATGGTAAATAAAAAGGCTTAGAGATTAAAAATATAGTGCCAGAACTAGACAATGTTTTCTCCAGGGTTTTAAGAAAAATAAAAAATATCAAATATGCGGCTTTTCTCTTTTTAGTTATTGGCAGGTCAATGGACAGCGGGAAAGATGCTGAGGAATGAAAAGCTGCTACTCCTATTTTCAAAGGGAGTGATATGAGTTCCCCTAAAATTATAGGCCGGCTAGTCTTACATCTGTAGTGGAAAAAGTTCTAGAATTTGAAAATAGAATTTTAAAAATCATTCAGTAGTTACCAAAGGGAGATTTTGCCTTATTAAATCTGTTAACTTTGGAGGGAAGGGGTGTTACTCTTTATATGGATGATGAAAATCCTGCGGGTTTGATGTACTTATATTTTGAAAAATCTTTTGATAAGGTACTACACAAAAGATCAGCTAAAAAATCACATCGGCGATTGTTAGGAAAAGGCTAGTTAATTGTATTGAAGGATGGCTGGGTGAGAGAAAGTTGTTATTAATGGACTCCAGTTAAACTGGAAGTCTGTGTGTCAGGGAAGAGTACACGGGGCCTTTGTTTCTTCTTATTTATATTAATGACGTTAATAGAGGCAACAATTGAGTTAAGAATGAATATTTTCTAGAAAATAATCAAATGGTTTAGTGGCAATATTGAAGGTAACATACAAGAATTGAGTTTCCATAAGATGAAAACAATTTTACACAATTCACATGGGATCTTTCGATAAATATCCAAGAGATGTTTATTAAAAAAGTTAAAAAAGTCACGAATTTCAGAAAGAATAAAGTGATTTTTTTAAAACGAGACCAACAATCTCGCGGATAAAGTTATGTTTTCTGGTAAATACGGTTAGTTTGGTTGTTGTTAAGCTCAAAGCTACGCAATGGGCTATCTCTACTCTGCTTTGTTTGTTTGTTTGTTTTGAATTTCGCGCAAAGCTACACGAGGGTTATCTGCGCTAGCCGTCCCTAATTTAACAGTGTAAGACTAGAGGGAAGGCAGCTAGTCATCACCACCCACCGCCAACTCTTGGGCTACTATTTTACATACGAATAGTGGGATTGACTGTCACATTATACCGCCCCCACGGCTGAAAGGGCGAGCATGTTTGGTGTGACGGGGATTCGAATCCGCGACCCTCAGAATGCGAGTCGAGTGCCTTAACCACTTGGCCATGCCGGGCCCTCTACTCTGCCCACTATGGACATCGAAACTAGAATTTTAGCGTCGTAAGCCTGCAGACTTACCGTTAGGGGGAGATAAATATGACAGTGAGAACATTAATTGTAATTGCGTGTAAGTGAATCACTTCGTATAATATACTTATTCAGTTTAATGACAAAGCAACGCATTTTTGCCTGTTTTTAATAACTTTAAGATAAAAATAAAAATTGTGATAGTAAAAATTATGAGTACTTTATTTAAACATCGAATATTGTTTATGCTTTGCGTAAATTTATATATATATAATTCCCACTTAGGTCATTGAACGCTTTTGTTACTATAAGTTTGGGTATAGTACCATCTAGCTCTAAGAAAAAGTAAAATATAATTTTACTTTTATACAGATCAGGTTTTACTTAAAAATGTGATATATATAATGTTTCTTACATTTATATTTACTTGTGTGTTATTTAGACTTCTTTTCTCGTCGGCGTTTTTCTGGTGTGTGTAAGAGCCGCTCCAACGAAAGATAGTATACCGGTTCCCGTCTTTTCACGAAGATTATCGTTAAATTCCGATAAAGTGGATATTTTCCAAGCAGAAGAAAGCCAGGCTTCGAGATTAGGCTTAGACGTCAATAGTGGAAAGAATCAGGATGGGTCGTTTCGTGAAGAGCGCCGCCAATCAGATGGAGGAACATTAGGGACATACGGGTACTATGATGACAATGGTGAACTTGTGTTACGTCACTATGTGAAAGACAAATTTGGATACCGTGTTTTAAGTGAATATAGGCCTTATGAACCTTTAGTAAAAGCACAACCAACAAATAAACCTACACAAGAAAGCAGCGTTGATGATGAATTTGAAGAGGAAGAAGATCCACCTACACCACTGCCACCTCTTGACGATAAAGAGTTCGCCAAAAATCTGAATATAAAGAAAGATGATAAAGGAAGTTTTGAAAGCAACAAAACCAAATTTGGACACGAAGTTTCTCCTTACGGCCCGCTTCATCTCTTGTTTAATAATAAGGTGGATCCATTATACACTTTAGCCACTGAAAACAATAAAACGGAAACTAGTACCAACACTAAAAATCTCACATTTCCCTCCCCTGTCTTCTCGTTTCATACAGAATCAAACAATTCTTTCAATACTCCCCCCTTTCTTCATCCTCCCCGCTTTTTCTTTCAAGAAAACTTCGCCAATGAGCCTTATGATCCCGAATTTTACGATCCTTATGAAGATAAAAATGTACCCACGTTTGAGCATGGTCACAATCGTCTATACACCCATGGCAGAAAACCCTATAGATACAGTCCTTATGCCTATCACCATAACCCTTTCTTCGAGTACCCCTATTCTTTTCATCCGCGCAGACCATTACACTTTGAAGCGCAAGTGTTAGATTATGGGTCACCCAATATCGTAAATCCAGTACATAAAAACAAAATCAAAGGAGTTCGTCTGGTTAAAGGACAGATAGTATTAATCAATGATGATTCTCCAGTCCAGGCGGATCAAGGGGAAAGTCACCCCAAATCGAAAGAAGAGTCCTCAGTAAATCAAACGAACACCGAACTTTCAAAGATAATCCCCCTTTCTCCCTTATCTTCACAGACTAGAACCAATAATCCTACAGATACTTCCAAACAAGGAAAAAAACAAGCCCTTAAAAACAAACAAGAATTTGTTTTACCGAATTTTGACTCGCCTGAATATTTCGAACCTTTCCGCAGATCCATTCGTCCTTTTGGCTTCGACAACTTTAGGTATAACCGTCCGTCATTCGGTTTCGATTCATTTCGCCGTCCAACGTATCTGGCACGATCACGATATGAAAACATTAACAAGTAAAGAATTACTCCTCACATATATCGGCTTTGGAAAAGATATCCTGCTTTCTATTGTATACTTGGGCTTATTATTATTTTCACCTCTCTTTCTTCTTATCATTCAAATTACCAAAATGAAATATGGAAGGGAAATGTAGCATCAGAAACACTACTTGTCATATACGGTTTCTTATCTTAACATCTTATATTTTGATTGGTTTAACTTTTATGTTGAATTTATGTATTGAGCTAGCATATAGCTTTATTTCTATTCACGTTTTTGCTAATTCACTAATTCTTGTGAAATATTATGATAATTTTAATGACGTAGCAATTGATTTAATAAAATATGTGTTTTAGACGAGCTAATTTACGATTTGTAACAATTAAAATGCCTACTTCATATTGTATCTATTTTTTTAGAAGCCACACAAGCAGAGAAAGAGCTAAAAACAATAATAACATGTACTCAAATCTGTATATCTATAGAAAAACAGATAATATTGGTTATTGTCAGATTTATAAAGGTATTCCTTCACAAATAAACAGTAAGCTTACTTTAAATTACCAGCTATAACGTAGATTGCTTTGTAGTGTCATCTAGCGGAGGCTTTTTAACTGTGACTTTCTATATACTATGATGATTAGTTCATGAGTTCAGTGATATTCACGTCGAAAAAAATACTGAAATGAAAGAAAGATTCTTCATAATGAGAATAGTTAAAACTAACAAAACTTTTTTGTTATTAAGGATTTTTTTCATGGTTAGTTTTATTTAAATTGCATCGAACTAGCCACTTATTTTTCTTTCCTAACAATATTAATACATTTGAAGATTACTTAAATAAATATATATATATATATATATTCTTTATGTGACACACTTAAATATGTTTATTGGGAAGCTCTTAAACACAAAGTTTATTTATTTCCCACAAAATGCTGTCAGTAGTTCTATATTGATGGCAATGAATGGAAAGTAAAGTTGGATTTTGCTGACGAATAGATAAGCAGTACATTCAGTGAAAGCTACAACCAATAGGTGGTACTAGTATCGTCGTGAAGTACCAAACTACTACCCATCTACGATATTTTGAAATGTTTTCTTTTCTCATTACAATGATCCTATATTTATATTGGTGCTCAAAAGTGTGTACTATTGAAGCTACTAATTTATTATTGGGAATTACTATGTGGACAAGCTAAATAATTCCCAAGAATAAATTAGTGACATCACTGCTACATTTTTTGAAACTTATATTTACATTTCACAAAAAATTGCATGTATTATGATGTAAACTTTACATCGTATTTAAAATAAATATGTTTAGTAATTTTGTTAAAACTGTAAATTTGTGTTTGCGTTTAACCACACATAACACATATTCTTTTGGTCTGTTGACTTACACTGTAAAAGCTGATCTCCTACATACATGGTTTGTCTCCCCCCCTCCGAAAATATTTCTGTGAGCGCTCATGCTTATATAAGATTACTGCGGTGAGAAAAAGACATCTCTAAACACTATATATATATATATGCAATATATCATTCATCGCTAAATGAAGCTTAAACGTATTCTTTCGACGAGATTGGAGTTACTCTGGATTGTGTTTTCGCCTTGGACTATTGTTATTGGTAAATTCTTGGACTTTATTAAATTATATCATATTTATTATTGTTTCACTTTGTACTCTTACACTTTTCCACGCCTTGTATTACTAGTGTGTTAGATGCATTTCAGTTTACCTATTGAGGGGGACTGCCCACGTCTGACCGATCCTCCGGGTCAGTCACTTCGATGCCTCCGTCCTAACCCTTATTCTAATTCTGCTGACGATTCTTGAAAAGCTAAGTTACCCAGTAATTCTACTTCATGGACTGATCTCTTAGACTCTGTCAATCGCTACCTCTTTTTTCTACAGCTTACACATGCTGATCTGCTTCTGTTCCTGAGAAACCACCTTCTGTTTTTGCTATTATCAGCCCTTCCACTGCAGCCTCCGTGCCAATTGTCTCCCCATTCCTACAGTTTACTTGTGCTTTCTGATCATGGGATATCAGCTCTTGCCTGCTGTTCCGGTGCTGTTACACTCTAGAATTTGTCCTTAATTCTTCTCTTTTCAAACACCTTTCACTGAGTTTTCTAAATATTGTCTTGAAGTTGATATTTAGAAGGTTATACTCACCTGTAACGGCACGATTGTTAAGACTGTTAACCCGAATCTGTTTGGTGTTCTTCAGACCCAAATAGGCCTATTTAATCTCGAATCTAACACTACTCTTCAGAAACTTGGTTCTCCCTTTTTTATACAGCAGCCCCTGTCACGTTGGCAGACCCTCTTCTCCTGTGTTATCCGTAGGGTTGACCCAGTCATCTCTGAGGAAAACAATAATTTTGGAAATGCTTACAGAAAAGGTTTCAATTAAACAGGCAATACGCATTCAAAATTATAATGGCTACACATACATGATTCGAATAATGACATAGAATAGTGACGAGATCAATCATTGACTTTCTCATGGTGCCTTTATATATCACCAACGTTATCTAATGGAAGCTTCCTGTTCATCTGCGTCCCAGCCACTGCATTATGAAAAGTTGTTTGGGCTACAATGTTCATCCCACTGCCAAATGTCCAAAATCAGCCCATTTGTTCACACTGTTGAGGTTCTAAATCTTCTTCGTCAGTGCACCCAATTAAACTTACCTCCAATTTGCGACATCTATCAGCCATGTCATCCCACCTATTCCTACAGGTATCATGGAAAGTCTTCCCCAAAATCTAATGATCCTGCTTTTGTGTCGCAAATTCGTTCGACTGATATCATTACGCTTACTACTAATTTCATCTCTACAGTCTCTATCATTGAGGACATTATTTATTTTGTTCCTTTTTTCCTCCAGAATGTTCTTCCTTTTCAACGTGTTTTTGTACTTAATAGCGTCACCAGTGCTGTAAAAATCCGTCTTTTGCCTCAACATGCAGGCCACTTATTTGGGACTTATCTCTCATTTTTCTTTTCGATGCGTATGAGAACAAATGGAGACAACATGTTAGCTTTCTTGATTGTTAACAGTTGCTCATTTCTTATAAATCTCCCACTTTTAGAAATATTGTTGAATGTTGGATACAACAATTTCATTCTTCTCAACGTGACCTTTCTCAGGCCCACACAAAGGGTAAAATTATCTGACTATAATTTAAATCATGGTTATCACCTGTTTGGACTTGACAGAGAATTTGGATACATTCTTTTTTCTCAGTCTTCATTTTCTGAGAACATGATTATCACTGTTTATTTCCCTTCCCGAATCATAACTCTTGCCACTATCTGGATTCGTCTTTGTGTTCCATTGCCTCGAGATATTTTTACCAATTTGGACAGAACCATTCACAACACTTTTCAATTATCATACTAGAACTTCCTCGATCTTGCTCAGTTCCAGTTTTGTTTATGCAGCCTTTCAGAGTCACTGCTATCCCTCCCTTCTCATAGCTGTCCAGCATCACAGTCTTCCTCTGATATCATTGTTGCTTCTGCTAACTTCATCTCTCTCATATCCCTCAGTTTGTGTTCTCCAATGGAAAGTGACCATATCTATATTCAGGTTCGACTTCACACATGGACCAACTCTTTTTGTCACACCAACAAATGGACATATCTCGACTACGGTGCTACTGACTGTGATTCCTATATCTTATACATTGATGGTGCTTTAAATTATGAGGACATGCCTCTTTCTTTTCGTGACCACATAAATTAAAATCTGTCATTCTTGCCAATACCATCTCTTCTGCCAGCTCTCTCCATATATCAACTTTTTTACACACTTCACATAACCCCCATCCCCAAAGAGTTATGGACGTCTTACGTCATTCTTCATCTTTACTGCATGAATACCAACACTCTCATGATCCACTGTAGCAGGTGCGTAACACAGGTCTCCAGCAGACTGAACGTAACTACATTAAAGTTGTCAAGAGACATCGATGATGACAAGCTTGCTCCAATCTCAGACGTTCGCCAACTTATATTCTGTCTGAAATTGTTTAAAACTGCTCACGGGTCGGAAATGCTCACCCTCATGTCCATTTATGATGGGTGATTCATTGCCTACTTCGTCATTAGAAAAAAAACTAATCTTTTGCCTCCTTCCACGAAAATAACTTTCAAGGACTGGGTCATCATTCTTTTGATTGCAGTGGCACTTCAGACATTGTTGATTCAACTATTGACTCACTCTCTGCTCTCACTCCTAGTTTCACCCATTTTCTCGGCAATTGCTATTTGCATGATCCCTTACTGTAGCGGATGTCCAACACGTACTGCAGAACAGGCGAAGTTCTGTTCCTGGTTCAGATGGGATGCCTTATTGCTATCTCTGATATATTCATTTACGGTTTCTCCATCTTCTTGCTTCAATTTATACCTTTTTCTTTCTTATTAATTTTTCCTGATTTCTAGAAGTTTTCTGCTGTCCTTCGTTTCCTGAAATCTAGTAAGTCTGCATCTGATGTGGGTTCATACCATCCTGTCAGTCTTAGTAGTGTTCTCAGTAAAACTTTTGGACTCCATAGATTTATTAATGACCATTGCCTGTTGTCGAGTGCTCATCCACATCTCTTATCCCATGGATTAACTTTTGAAACTACCTGACCCTATTACCAATCATTTTAACAGCAATAAGCCCTTCTGCATACTGCTATTTGATTTCCAATGAGCGTTTGATTCTGTGTGACACCGTAGCTTACTCTACAAGTTTCATTTGTTAAATTTTTCATTTACTTACATTCGTCTTAACTCGTCTTTTCTCTGTGGTCAGCGTGCAGCTACTTCCATTAATTGGACTTTTTCTTCCTCCTTCACTCGTCTTGTTGGTATTCCCTAAGGCTCTGTTCTCTCCACTTTCTTGTACATTCTCTATGTGTTTCAATTTAAACATAACAAACATACCATTATGCTGACGATACTGCTTTGTTCGTCTACTATAAGACCACTTCTGCAGTGAATAAAGAATT